TCAAGAAATGTTTTAGCATCACAAACATCTGAAACAACTCACTCACTTCTAATTACAGCCTCAATGTTACCTATCCTGGATCCTACACAATTAGATTTACCTTTTGATCCCCCTTTGTCTTCTGGTTTGCACACTGACAACACAGTTCACAGAATGAACACAAGATTACAAATTGTAACTATACAAAAAGAATAATTATTCAAGTTTTATTGCTACTCTACCTTAATTAACAACATTTAACATAGATGATCAAGATGAGTATGCTGTTGGGGGATTTTCTTTTGTATCTCAAATAAGTGATATAGCAGAACCTATATCTTTCAAAAGTGTAGCAATAAATGTACATTGGCAGAAGACAATGCAGGAGGAGTTTAATGCCTTAAAGGGTCATGGTACTTGGATTTTGGTGCCTCCACCAGAACATATGTCAATCATTGGCAGTAAATGCATATACAAGTTGAAGAAAAATCTAGATGGTTCTATTTCAAGGTACAAAGCACATTTAGAGGCACAAGGGTTCACTCGAGAACATGGTTTGATACTCTAAAACCTGGAGCCCAGTTGTTAAACACATTACAGTTAGGTTGATTATATCTCTTGCAGCATATTACAAATGGGAGTTAAGGCAGCTTGATGTGAAAAATACATTTTTGCATGGTAACTTAGAAGAGAAGTATACATGAAGCAACCTCAGGGTTTTGTGGACTCATCTCAGCCAAGTTATGTCTGCAAACTTGTAAACTCTTTGTACGGTTTGAAACAGGCACCAAGGGCCTGGAATTCAAAGTTCACAGTCTATCTTTCTGGGATTTCAAATGTCACAAGCTGATACAAGCCTTTTTGTTAAGCATGATGGTACTAATGTGATTGCTTTATTACTCTATGTTGACGACATAATATTGGCAAAGTCCAATGCTTCAAAGGTTCAAGTTGTTATTCAAGAACTTGGTGATGCGTTTTATTTAAAAGACATGGGCAAGCTATCCTATTTTCTAGAATTACAAGTTGAATACAGAGACAATGAGGATATTTTCATCAATCAATTAAAGAATGGTTAGTTGCAAGCCTACTGCATGTATGGTTAGTTGCAAGCCTACTGCATGTAAGCCTCAAACACAATTTCTTGCTTCTGAATGTACTCTTTTGGATGATCCAAGTACATATAGAAGTTTCGTTGGTGCTTTACAATACCTAACATTTACCAGGCATGACTTGTCATATGCTGTTGATTTGGTATATCAATATATGACTAGTCCAACAAATGAAAATTTTGGTCTTGTCAAGCGAATTTTGAAATATGTACAGGGCATTCTTCACTATGGTATTACATATTCAGCATCTTCAGACAATTCTATTACTAATTTCTCAAATTTTGATTGGGCTGCAGATCCTAACACTAGAAGTTCTATTACTAGTTTTGTAGTATTCATGGGTCAAAATCCAGTGTCATGGCAGTCTAAGAAACAATCTTCAGTTTCTAGAAGCTTAACAGAGGCAAAGTATAAAACACTAGCGCACTATGCTGCAGATGTAGTTTGGACCAGACTCTTGTTGAAAGATTTGCATCAGTTTATCTCTGAACCACCTTTGCTTCATTATGACAATCTGTTAACACTAGCTCTATGTTCAAATCCAGTTATTCACACAAGGATCAAACATCTTGACACAGACTTTCACTTTGTGAGAGAGAAAGTTCAAATGAAAGACTTACAAATTCAAAACATATCAACAGAATACTAGATTGCAGATATTCTTACCAAGGGATTGCATGGTCCAGCTCTCTTTAAACATTGTTGCAATCTTAAGCTTGGCTTACCCAACTAAGATTGAGGGGGATGATAAGTGTAGACACATGTCATTAGTTGATTGAGTATGTGTCATGTCAGCCAAATATGGTTAAGATTGTTGGTGGTTGGTTGGTTTTTTAGAAGTTAGTTAGGTTGTTGAAGATGTGCTGGAAAGGACGTGCTTAGTCATCGGCTAGTGTAAACTACTATCTATAGCATATCAAGTAAGCTTTACATTCAAAGAAACTAATTTGAAAAGTCACAACCATTTCTCTCATTCTTTGCTTCTTCTTCGCGACTCTTCATACTTAGTTACTCATTTGCTTCATTTAATTTGAAATAGTTAATATTTCCCTTCCCTAACCCCTAAATTACACCAGGTTCAAGTCACCTTCCACGCAGGTCTATCCTTCTATGTTCTTTTTTATATTGCATTGTCTTACTTTGTTCTTTAAATAGACTATCAGAGCAAGTCCACCCCTAAAAAAATGTGTTGGCACTCAGCTCATTTAATCCACTCAGTGAACAGTGATATACCCTATGAACAGTAAGTTGGCCAAATGCTTTTCCACCCCTAAAAAATACATTGGCACAAACGATCTCTACCCCTACAAAATGCACTAGCACCCAGCCCATTTAAAATATTATTAATTTGTTTATAAATAATAAATTTCATTTAAATTTAGTTTTAATTTCGAATAGAATTTTTAACCAATCTCGTCACGCCACATGTCGCTATCTGTTTACAATAATTTAGCCAAGATTTCGATAAGATTTTCAACCAATCACGTAGTGCCACGTGGCAGTGTCCAGAACCTCATCCTTTCTTTTTTTTGTCCATATAGACCCTACATCCATCATCATTCACATACCAAACTCAATCCTTCTTTTTAGCTCAGAATCCTTCTTCATTATTTTTAAATCTTGAGTTCTTACAATGTCTTCTTCAAGGAGATTGTCCAAACAGTTTGAGGAGCAATAGAAATGATTGTCGGCACAACAGGAAGAATTGTTCAATCTCAAGGAAGGTGGAGATGAGGCTTTCGCAATGGAGAAGGATGAGGATGATGAACATAGAAGGCAGAGGGCCTCACATTCCAGCCATGTCATGGAAGCTATGGGTCAAATATCCAAACCCAGACGTGCTGCAAACTTGGATAGAAAGAGGGAAAACCGAGGTAAAGGTCTCTTGTAAGATTATTTTATCCCCAACTGTATATTCCCTGATCATATTTTTAGACATCATTTTAGAATGCAACAAAGTTTGTTCGACAAAATCATGAGTGCTATTTGCAACCATGATCTATACTTTGTGGGAAAAAAAAAAGAAAGATATTTTGCTTGTTCAAGGTATTCTTCCTGAGCAAAAAATTATTGCTGCCTTGCGGATGCTAATATATGGAGCATCTGCAGATCAAGTGGATGAGATAACGAGGATGGGAAAGTGTTGAAAATATTGAAATGTGGTGTAAGGTGGAAGATGAAGGTTAGGTATTTATATAAAAAATAAATATTTTTTTAAATTTTTTCAGTATTTTTTAACAATTTTTAATAATTTTAATTTAGTTAATTAATTTAGACCGTTGGATTTGAAAAAGATTCAAATCCAACAATCCATATGTTGACACATGGCCAACAGTCATAATTCTGACCATTGTGCCTTTTTTTTTTAAATTTTTGAGGGAAAAACGTGGACCGTTGATCTTTAGATCAGACGGCAAAGATCACGCCACGTTACTAGCCGTTCATTTTCAAATTCAAATTTTTTTGGCTATTGGAAATCCAACGATCCAAAAAACTAGCTGTTGGAAATCTAGGTCCAGAACGAGCCACGTGGCCTTTCCGTTGGAATCGTAAGTGTGCTTGTGCATGCTGGCCCCGCCCACGTTTTCTTGTTGGGTACATGCGCCCACTCGCGTGTGCTTCCCATGTGCCTGACACAAAAAATTTTTAAATTGGCATGTGATGTCATGATGGCGTCAACATGACGTCACATAGGCCGGGCCTTGGCTCAGCGCATTCTAGGCCGGCCTATGGGACGGCCTAAGGGCTCCTGATGGACTTGGTCTTAAAGTCTTAGTCCTTCCATGTTCTTTTTTATATTGCATTGTCCTGCTTTGTTCTTTAAAATAGGCTATTAAAGGCTTATTGGATGTACGTAGGGTGCCCGACGTATGTACCATGAATTTAAAATTCTATTCTAATCCATAAAAAAAAAAAAAAAATTTAAATAAAACCTTATCTAAGATGAAAAAATACCTATAGTCCTCAACATTTAATTATAATTTTTTAATATTAATTAGATTGTAATAATTATTCAACTTTTTTGTGTGTAGGTTATATATTAATTCTCATAAATAATAAAAATGTTATGAGTAAATTGTAGCTATGGTCCCTTAACTTTAACTTAATTCAAGCAATGGTCCCTCAACTAAAAATTCATTATCATTGGTCTCTCAACTCATCAAAACGTGCAGCAATGGTCCCTCAACTTTAATTCAACTGGAGAAATGGTCCCTTAACTTTAACCCAATTGTAGCAATAGGCCTTCTAATATAACTCATTTTGACTAAATTTTTGACATAATTGACGAAAATGACCATACTTACACACTTTGATGAGTTGAGGGACCCTTATTATATAAATGGTTATTCCAGCATAACTTATTTTAACAAAATTGATGAAAATGACTATAACTACACATTTTGATAAGTTGAGGGACCAATAGTAATGAATTTTTAGTTGAGGGACCATTACTCCAACTTGATTAAAATTGAGGGACCATTACTACAATTTACTCAAATGTTATTTATCATCGACAATTATTATTAAGTTCTCATTATATGAAAAGGTCATATATTATCATCTACTTTTCATCGTACTCTACTACCTTTGTCGAACACACTTAAGTAGCACTTTCTTGATTTTGGATCATCTACTTTTCTTTGTACTTTAAGTAACTAGATTGCAAGTGCTTCTTTAAAAAAGACTTTTATTCATAAGCGCTTTTAAACTTCTTTTATTAGAAGCACAATGAAATGTTTATGCAGAAAGACTTTTTTTTTTTTTTTTAAACTCATTAGCATTTTAACTTGCCAAACATGATCATAAGTGCTTCTATGATACAAGTTTTAGTTATCTTAGGGAGCATTTTTGCTCACCACTATTTAGTATGGTATATGCTCACCATCCTATTTATCATATTTAAATAAATTTGAATTTCGAAATTCGTGTAGTAAATATCTTTAAGAGTACTTCCAATACAAGTCCAGTACCATTATTGCATTAAATAAGATACGTGCCATTATTTATAATTTTCTTTGGCCTCTCCGTTCTCTATTTCTTTCGCTTCTCCATTCTCCATTTCTTTAGAAAATTCTATGCTTTGTATCACTGGTTGCAGTTTTGATTTGTTTTTGTTTTTTTTGTTTTTTTTTTCATTACAGGAACGGATTATGTTTTAAATTAATTCGATTGAATTCTTTGGCCAATCCTTTAAAAGAACCCTTGGCCATCCCCAGATGATGCAATTAGTATTGCCACGTCCCGGATCACATCATGCATTCTTACACATCCGTCGTGTTCACCATCCAAAACCAAGCTACAAGCTTTAAGGTACTTGGCCACCAAATGTGCCGTACTTCTGGCCTCTTGCATTGAGTTGGCATCTCGAAACAATCCCTTCCCGATACCACACTTCAGCAAGTCTTCGATATGAATATCAGAGTCCTTCGGGAATAAGCAGCAAAGTAAGAAGAATAACTTGGCATCATTGCTATTCAAGTAATCGTAGCTCAACTTTATACATCTGAACACATCTCCCTCGTCATCAAGGTTGGTAATTTGGAACATCTCTGGTCGTCGAGTTGCTTTTCTCCATTCTTCCGAGTCCGTATCTCCGAGTGCTCTTGCAACTTCAATCAAAGCAATTGGGAGACCGCCGCATTCTCCAGCTGCCTTCCTCGCTATGTCATAGAAATTGGTTGATTCAAAAGACCTGTTAGCCTTTTTCACAAACAAGGCCCAAGAATCTTCGTCTGATAGGAAATCGAGATGGATCATTTCTTGGCTCTTCATTGCATGACATACATTCTGTAACCTTGTGGTGAGAAGGACCTTGGAATTGCAGTTTTGGAGCTCGTAGTCGTCGGGGATCCCTATGAGAGACAAATCTATTGCCCTCCAAATATCGTCTAAAATTATAAGGATCTTTTTTCCTCTCCTTATTCTCTCCTTCAATCTAGCTGCTCTGGCTATTTCTGTCTGCTCATTCAAATTCAAGGCCAGCATTTCTGCAAGCTGTTGTTGAATCTTAACCAGGTTCGGGTTTTGGGAAATGACAGCCATAATCACATGATCAAAGAGCTTGTCTTTACACGCTTGCAAACCAACATGTTTCACCATGGTTGTCTTGCCTATGCCTCCCATTCCGTGAACCCCGATGACAGTGATGTTATCGTCTTTCAGCGCCTTCATGACCCCATCCATGGCTTGCCTTGTTGCTTCAAATACTTCAAAATCTCCCGTTGACATGGTGGACTCAAACTCAACGGGCAGGCGAACTTGAAGTGTAACTGTTTCAAAACTTTTCTCTTCATTAAGCTTGTTCATTTCTTCTGTCTCATTAACTGCTCTCTTGCTTAAAGTGTAACGCCATTTCAAATTCGGGCAGCAGCCTCCAAGGCATGTTTTGTTTTCTCCGGCTTCATTATTCAGTCTTTTCGCATCGATTATGGCCTTGTCAGCATCCTTGAGCCATTTTTGAACTTCGGACTTAACTTCGTCTCCATTCATTAACGCCGCATCTACGCTTCGCTGGTAATCATTCCGCGTGGTCTCAAGCTTTCCTACCAGAACTTCAAGAGACTGTATGTGTCTCTTGTAATGCACCAAGTAACCCACATTACGCTTCACTGGAGTCCATAACAACTCACCGACTTGTAGTACGAAATTAACAATGTCCATACCTGTCCTTTTTAAAATAAAACATTAACAGGGAGAAAAATATAAGATTCAAAGTTCAAACAATAAAATAGGTACCACCAAAAACGGAGAAAAACTATGTAGGAATTTGATAACTAGATGACTAACCTGGATCTTCCTTAGCTTCAACTGGTACAGACTTGAAAACGTTTTGTGCCTTGGACGAATGTCATGGAAAATGTGAGGATGGTTAAGCTTGGTTCTTCGGATGTCTGATTACAGAAACGGTAGACGAAGGATCAGCAGAGAAAAGAAGAACTAATATTTTATTGGTTTGCAGTTTTCGGAGTAGGACTGGGACTAGACTCGTTAAACAATTTCGAACATCTCCAATCATCCTTCCTATCTTGAAGTTAAATTAAATTTTAGCCAAACTTCAACTGTGACATTTTAGTCGTTTGTTAATTTAAAAAGGGGCATTTAGACTTGGACAAGGATCCTCTCGGATCCTTCTTGTGGAGATTTCGAGATCAATTAATCATATCCGTCTATCGTGCACGCCAGTTTTCGTTAAGTAATATTTATATTCAATTTAAAATTTAAAATAATTTTTAACTACATGATGTACGATGAACGAACACGATTGATTGATTATCTAGATCTCCACAAAAAAGATCAGGAGAATATCCTATTCCTTTAGACTTAAGGGCCTACATAATATTATTTTTTATGCTTTTATAAATTTAGCTTTAGTCCAACATTTAAAACTCATTATTGCGTCATATGAAATACCCTCGCCCACTTTTATTATTTTTTAATTTCATTATCACGTCATATGAAATACCCTTGCCCACTTTTATTATTTTTATTTTAATTTCATTATCACGTCATATGAAATGCCTTGCCCACTTTTATTATTTTTGAATTTTCTTTCTAATATTCCTAATTTGATCATCAATTAAGCCTTAAAAATAGGAATTTCGACTTCTACAAATCAAATTTTAGCAATTTAAAATGAAGACTTTTAAAAATATTTTGTTAATGAGAAATAAATTGTACATAAAAATTTGTTCATACAATGCACAAAACCAAACAAATGAACTAATATGCACACACAATGAACAAAACAATAAATACCATAATTTTAAAAGGGCAATTTTGTGAATTTATTTTTTCTTTTGAAATCCTATAGAGAGAAGGGCATTTTTTAGATTATGGGATTCACTAATTTTGCCTTCTTCCTCTATATATATGGGACGAATCGGTGGCACCACGTATTTTACACAAGTTTTGACATAAGTTTTAAGTCATTAGATTTGTACATTTTTTTATGGGTTGAGATGTAATCAAATTAATTCAATTAATTTTCTTTATTAAAATAATAATAGATTGGGAATGAAATTCTAAAAGCCTTTTAATCTCTCTCCATCTCATTAATTGTTTTTCATTCATTTTCTCCCTTTCTTCTCCATTCTCCTTTATCTTTCATCCTATATCAAATGCACAGATATAATAGATCTTATTAAAGGATAATAATGTAGTTTCCTATTAAAAAGGGGTAGTACAGATCCAGGTCCAAAAACTCGAGTTGTTTTTTTAAACTGAGTTCAATTGTAACATACTTATATCATAATAAGACTACAAAATTTTTCAAGAGAAATATATTTAAGATATAATTGAATATAACTAATTTTGAAGAGGTAGCTTATAAGCAAATAAATCTAAAATATAGGTAACTAAAAACGATTTCTGTGATATAGGTAGATTATTAAGATAATATTTCTTAGACCAATTTTTAAAATGTGGACTATTCCTAATAATAACTCACAAAATTAGATTTATGTTGAATTTATCTTTATGACAATACTATGATGTCTAGTTTCTAAGAGTTATAATGACTAGCGGCCGATAGAACTAAAAAAATGTTTATATAGTGATTCTAATTTGGAGTGCATGATGACTATTTTTTGGGGTATTTACAACCATTAAAAACTGATATAAGTTCAATTTTTTTAGTCAATATTGGAAGTAGTCTGGCTTATTAAGATAAGTCCAATCCCTTAAGTTTAGTATTATTTTTTTAATTATCTCTTTAATGATAAGATTTATTATACAAATAGAATGTATTCCTAATTTTTTAATTATTTATTCTTCTTTTTTTGTTATTTATTGTTCTTTTTCATGCTCTAAACCCCTTTCATTATTTTTTTATTATTTTTGTAATCAACTTAAATCACGGATTAATTGTACCTGTCTACCTATATGATAGACTCTTTCTTTTTTATAATACATGCATCACAAATTAATGTGTGTTACTTGTAGGTATATTATGTTTTTGTACATTTTACTTATGTTTCATATCTCACTTATAGGTACAATGTACATTCATATATTTGTTAATTGAGTTAGGGTCGTATCTTTTGTACATAGATTTATGTTAGTATATTAGTTTTTTGTTGAAAGATATTAAGTAGATTTATTGGAATTTAAAACATGCATGAAATTAGAAGATTTTAATGTATCTCTAATATTTAAAAAATAAAAAACAAATGAGCATAGAGGACATAAAGGTGAAGAAAATATAATATTGGACTCAACCTATGTTGCTTTTTTGGAGCAAGATCTAAATGCCTTAATTTCATTTCTAAATTTCTATAAATGAGAGTTATCATCACGGTTCCTTCGCTCTTACTCACCATCCTCATCCTCACCTCTACCCCACCATCATGCCACAAACACCTTGCTATCACCAGCCCTAGCACACCATTATCGTCGCAGGTGCCACCGACGCAACCGTTACCTCCACTCCCACCACCATCGTTGTACAACACCACAACTATAGCTTCCCCTACCAACACTGCCACCATCCCCACCACCCATCATCAAACTGCCTCCATCACCCAGATCATCACCGTAGTCCCTAGCACATTTACCAACTACCAACTACCACCTTCCGTATTTACATTTATTATATTATTAGATCCTTAGACAAATAAGAAAGTCCACAAATTCTAAAAAATTAAAATCCATAATTTTAAAATTACTTAGTAGTTTTAAATTGACAGAGAATTAAGAAAATCCCTTTAGAAAACAAAATGACATCCTCAATTCATTCACTCAAAAGTACTTTCCTCTTTTCTATTTAGTAACACCTCTCGAACTCATGTTGATATAACACATAATGATCAGTTTGCCAAATAAAAACAAAGAATTGAAGCCAATTTCTAATCAAGTAAATTAAATACATAATTTTTAACAGGTTGTACATCTGCGTTTTCTCTCTATACCTGTCAACTTCTTGATCTGAGCTTTGATTCACCAACTCTCCGTCGCCATGGCCATCCAGTTGAACTTCGACTAGGTTGCTGTTGGGATGGGGTGTTACCACTGCTATTCGCTCATCAGATAATTCTCTCTACTTGTAGGGCTGAGGAAGTCTACGCATAGACTTCTCTACTTTTTAATTTTTGTTCCCTACTTTAGACGTAAGTAGTCTTTCAGAAACAATTTTTAATTCTCTGTAGAACGGATCCTAAGCATCAGAAATGTTTTTTATTATAAGAGTTTTAACGAAAAACTCACGGTATTATTCATTTTAACGAAAAAACATATTTTTACATTAAAAAAATCAAACATGATATCATTCACTTTACTCTTTATGTTGTCCTTTAGAGCTTGTTTGAGTGTGATTTTAAAATAACTGAAAGCGTTTTTAGTGAAAATATTTTTAAAAACAATCCTTAGTAAAAAATGCTAATAAATCCTGAAAAAAACACTTAAAATGCTTTCTAAAAGAAATAAATAACTAGTGTTTCTTGTAAAAAACACTTTAAGTACTTGTAGAATCCAAAAATATTTTTTTTTTAAAATGCTTTAAGTTATTTTAAAAGTATATTCAAACGAATTCTTAATTACCAAAGTCAAATTAAGAGGCCAAACAAAGCAAAAACACCCTATAACTTAGAGATCTATAAGAATAGGCTCTTTCTCTGCATTCTTGTTAGATGGTGATCTATATTACTCCCGCAGTCATCACTCGTAGTTGATAAAAACTTATCAAGACCAAGTTCATCATTACATTCTGAATCAATAACGCAACTACATAAAAAATATTTGGGTAAAGTATAAAAAACTACATTAACTATTATTATCACGACATTTTCATATCTCATCTTTAAAATTTGGTCCAATGTTATACCTTCCGTTACTTAACCGTTTACTTTTCAGTAAAATGCTAACGTAGCTTAATTCGGACCCCACTTTTTATTAAAATATTATTCAAAACAAAAAAAATATTTAATATTTTTTAAATATTAAAATAATAATAAAAAGTACAAAAAAATAATAATAAAAAAAACCCTCAGTTCGTCCCCCCTCCTCTTTCTTCTCCCCATCTTCAACTTCTTCCTCCCACCTACAATCAAAAAAAAAAAAAAAAAAAAAAGGAGAAGGAGGAAGAAGAAATTTTTTTTTTTTTTTAAAACCCATCAAACCCCAAATCCACCACTCTCATCCATTCTCCACATCTTCTTCCGCACCCATCCTCCACCTTCTCTACACACCCATCTTCCCACCGACGAGATCTGGTTTTTTTTTTTTTTTTTAATTTTTTTTTGGGGGTTTGCAGGTGGGGGAAGGGGAAGAAGATGGGGAGAAGAAAGGGGGGACGAAATGAGGCTTTTTTTTTTAAATTTATTTATTATTATTTTAATATTTTAAAAATATTTAATAATTTTTTTAGTTTTTAATAATATTTTAATAGAAAATAGGTTCTGAATCAAACCACATCAGCATTTAACTAAAAAATAAACGACCAAGTAACGGAAGGTATAACATTGAACCAAATTCTAAAGATGAAGTATAACATTATCAATTTTAAAAGATAAAGCATGAAAATATCGTGACATCAATAATTGAGATAATTTTTTGTATTTTACCCAAAATATTTACACATATGAATCTATACTGGCTCAGGACGCCACATGGTTTCCAGAGGGGTGCATGTGTATGCAAAACTTGCCTACCTAGGGTTGTTGAGGGATTCCCCCTATTCTGCCTTCGTCCTTGTTTTGATTTGACATGAAAGGAAGCAACAAGTTTTTAAACAATATGCAAGTACGTTACATTTTTATAATCATCAAGACGTAGCACTTGTCATTTTCTTTTTAAGGGCGGTGGGAAGGATTTTAAAAGGAATGTGGGCTATATTTTGTTAAGAGAAAAAATATATATACACCCATACATATATATATATATATGTATATATATGGACACCGAAGAAACACCTAAATCCTTGTAAAACTTGAGAAGTGCAAGTGTCATGAATTGAATAAGAAAGTATGGTTTTTGAATAGGACACGGATTGTCTGTCCCTTCACTTCTTGTGTTCTCCCGTCCCATCCTGATTGTATGATCACAATTAAGTTACATCAATATTTTATATTACTATTTATTTTTGTCTTATTATATCTATTTAAAAAAGATATAAAATATTAATATGGCTTAATCGTGAACACACAAAACAGAAAGACACAGGAAGACAACGAAAAGGGAAGGGCAGACAACTCTTCTCCTTTTGAATATAAGAATGGGTAAAGTTGAAACAATTGATCTAAAGTTGGTTGGGGAGGGCTAACTGCCAAAAGCCGAAAAACGTCAAAATACATGCTGCAAAATAACAAATTGCCAGAACTTGCTTTGACGCGCAAAGTCCTACAAAGTTAAAGAGAGGTATTTTACTATTATCAACTCACCATGTGACAGATGTTTATTAGTCAAATGATTCTCTTTTCAAATACATATCAAGTACTTATTGGACGGATAATGCCATTAGACTTATATTCGTTTCCAAGAGAGAATGTCCCCACAAGCTAACTTTACTCCACCATTCCCCCACCAACAGGAAAAATTATAAAATTATCTCTCCGTTTTGATGTGCCATTTTCTTTTTTATCTAATCCTTTTTCATATATATTTTTTTTGTTTTGCAGGTTTTGTTTTGTAAGTTCTTACCTTTTAGGTTTTGCATTGATACCTGAACTGAATTTGCAGGTTAATTTTGTCGTTTAATTAAAACACCAAAATAAAAGCTACGAAGAATAAAACCCTAAAACTCGAAGAAAAATGTTTCCCGCAACCAAAATGCAAAATCAGAGATAACAACCAGACGTAGAGTGCGAAAAAACAAAGAAAACGCTGGGCAAAAAAGCCGAATAGCCCAAATTCACAATCAATCATAAAATTTTCTTCCTAACCAAACAGAAAATAAACCAACACATGAATCAACATACCTGAACTCGAGCGATTCGCTTGTGCAAAACAGGGGGAAAAACGCTAAACACCTTCGAGAAGATCCGATCGGAGCCGAAATCAAAAGACAGACGGGAAAACTAAAAAGAAACGGAACGACAGAGAGAAAAAAGAAGAGGAAAAGAAACAGTCGAAGAAGATGCTTCCGGCATCTTTCCTATAAAATGCAACTTGGCCAAAGCTCAACCAAAAAACACCAAAAAGCATCTTTCAAAAGGGCGCAACAGCTGCAAACAAAGATGAAGGAGGGGCAAAATAGATAATTTACTGCACAATACCACCAAAGTTCAAAAACCATGAATAAAATGAGGGTTAAAACCAGGCGGGCACTGTTAATGAACAGTACCCATCCGCTTAGCATATATAAAATTTGAAGAGGTATGGTCCTATGTCCCCACTCTTTTTTGGATGTTCTTGTTTTTTTTTTTTTTTTTTTTTTAATGAGAAGTAAAGTTTATGTCTCCTATAATTAGGTGTAATTTATTTTTTTTATATCAATAAAATTCTCTCGTACCGTCAAGATTCTCCAAAATAAAAAAGAATAAAATGTTCTTCGTACCATCAAGGTTTCTTAAAAAAAAAGTGTAAATATTTTTGTTAGACGAATTCTTTAATTAGAAGGTTTTTTTTTTTTTTTTTTGTGTTAAACGATAGATTTTATTAGATTAGCTACTAGCGAAATTTGAATCTAAATCATCATGCAATGGCTCAACATCTTTATACTATTGTACGTGTAGTGGTATTACAACTATTAGAAAACAATCCAAAGAAGTGGTTGGTGTACTGCAAAAATATATAAACCAATGTGAAGGTCGAGTGGGTATGCCAGTATGCCTTTCTCTTCCCTGAACTCCTAAACTGCATAGCAGGTTCAAGTCACCTTCCACGCGGTCCGCCATTATTAAGGCTCGTTGGACGTACGTACCAAAAAAATTTTAAACGCAGAGGGACCAGGCCAAGCGACCATAACAAAACGACAAAGTCAGCAACCCCAAGCAAGCAAGAGTGGCCAGCCAAAACAATATTACTCTATCGCTCAACTAAAAGGGATATTTCACGGCTTCCCATGAGGGGCAAAGGTGGAATTGGTGATTAAATGTGTGACTTTCGCACTTCTATTTTCAAATTCTGCACTCCTCTTCTTGATTTTGTTTGGTAATTTTACTCTAAGTTATTCAATCTATTGACTATAAATATATATACAAAGTAGAGGAAATGAAAATCACTCTCATTACGAAATTATAGACAGGCAGCATTCAAAACAAACGTATTTAGTTGGTTTTCTTTCCCTAGCCAAGAAGACCAACTTAAAGTTGCCATTATATTAAACTCTAATTGATCCAAGGAAGAAAGAACACTAGCCAATCCATATGGTATGGTGGACAATAGGTGCATATTGAGTCCAATTAGTATCTCCCTTTGGGGCTCCAATTACGTTAGGGATGGTGGTTGTGGTTGTGGTACTAAATGATAGGTATTCCTGCCTAGTGGCGGAGCTAGAAAAGCCACAGGGACACTTTGAGCAATATATTTAAGGTCAAATTGGATTAATGGTCCTGGTGGTTATAGAGTATATGAAAGATAATTCATATGGAAGAAATATTAGGAATTACCCTTGTGTTGATTTTTGTTAGGATTCAAACCTAGAATTGAAAGTTTTGTTAATAGGTTGCACCTGAGCCTTACATGTGAAACTAAAATTGTCCCTTTCAATTTTGGGCTGAGATCAACGGGAGCATATTAAAGTAAATAATACTTAGGGTGTGATGTGTATGTGCATTACAAGAAAAAGGGAAAAGAGTAATGCTAGATAAACTAAATTTGTAGACAAAGTTTTGTAAACTAAATGATATGAAAGTTGATGATTGAGTTTAAGATCATTTAGTTTGTAAATTTTGTCTTCATATTTAGTCTCTCTAGCCAAAGTGTGGCAAAAAAATAAAGAAATGGCCAATATACAAAAGGAGTATTTTAGCTCATCATAATAAATTGTGGTGTATGCTCACAACACACCTCATCATTTACCACGAGTTCTTTCAACTAACTCTGGCTAACTTTCAAATTAGATGTTCATTTTCTAATTTTGAAAATAAATGACTAAGGTTAAATGAAATGACACTTGGCAAATGATAAGGTGTATAGTAAGTATACACCATAATTTATGATGGTAAACAAAAATGCTCCCATACTGAAAAAGTGACTTCTTACCACATTTCGAACTGTCCAGACCTTCTAGTTCAAAAAAATTGACCAACAGCACACGAATTATGGAATGGCATTGGCAGGCTATGGGAAAACGAAAATTATCATAATTAAAACCCAATCAAATTAACAATCCTTATAAGTCATCACACTGATATTCAATCGTACTATACATATGAAATACGGAAATCAAAACATTTGTAAAAATGCAAGCATGCGAAAGACAAAAATCGATCAAAGCAAGCGTAGCATCTCTTTAGCTGACTCCCTTGAAAGAAATAAGTTGTCAATGTAGTGTATTAGAGGAGCCACTGCAGTAACCATCCTCTGCATCTGAACAAAAGCCGATGCCTCTGACAAAGTAGAATACCAAACAAACTGTGTTACCAATCAAGTCCAAACCCTAAAATACCCACGTATATATAGCATTCATAGTAAATTCATGTTAATTATGCTCAATATCTCAACCTAAGATTTCTTTTTTCTTCTTCTCTATATTGGATTTGAAAAAAAGAACCTGCAACCCGCCACGGTAGCTACCGTGAGCAGTAATCAAACCAACAAATCCCAAATCTCTAGCCTATGTCAATAGATATGAGCTAGTCTGCTAAAAACATGGTTTGGGAGGAGATAGTATGACAATGATGGGTGTACATACTAAAATAGTCTTACCATCTAATTTTAGCCTTTTGATGAACAGTGACTTTGTAGGAAGGGTTTGCAGTGCACCCGCAACAGTCTTTCTACTAGCCCATCCGTGGTAGGGGTAAAAAACTTGTTTATATGCTGTGTTAACCGGATCCATGAGAGAATTTCCGCTGCCCGAGTAAAAATAAATAAATAAATTCAAGTTATAAGTAACTGTGAATCTGTGATAGTAAAATAGCAGCTAGTTGCAAAATTATAGAGATACAAAAATTAGAGATAGCAGTCATTGATTTAGGGTTTGTTCTTTTGCGAGAGAGTGATTCGTGCTGGCAATAATTAATTCAAAGATTAACCAATACATAATTATGTGTCTTAAGTAGAATAATTAAGTCATGGTATTATTGGATATCACGAGTTTAGAATGAGAAGAGTCTAGAAGATGGAGGAAGAGTTCATGAATGAGTGCGTTGATATGAATATTAAATTTTAAAAAAAAAATGATGATGGACAGAAACATAAATTAAGTGGATGAGTGGACGTAGCAGCACAACTCAAGATGAAATTGCATATGCAAACGAAAATGATCTAATATAGACATGTTAATGAAGCAAAGAATTCAGAGAATATCGAGGCTAGGGTTGAGATAAGTAAAACCTTGAGGCCATACTTCGCTCGAATATTATCTTAAGCATCTCAAGTGAACGCTTCACTCTGATGAGTAATCTCGAACCACTACTTTGGAGCTTAATAGTATTCTGTTGTATGTCACGGTCAAGCAATTCTTCTAGGGTATTGATTGACTTTCCTGCCTTTACAACCCCGCTAACCTGGCAACCACATCCACATTAATCAAAATATAATTAGAAAACCCAAAAGAAACAATCACATCAAAGGGAGATATGAACAGAATCAAAAGGAAAATATAACTAAGATCATGTTTGAAATATGTAAAATGTATTTAAGTTCAATGCACCGGAATATCAAGATCGAAATTACTAGTCCTCACCAGAAGATGTAAAATAAATAAAAATATTTATAAGAATAATAAGAAATATGTAGTAATTTACTTGAGGTTTTTAGTTTCTATAAGAATAATTAAAAATATTTAGTATTTTTGCCTTCCTTTTATTATTTTAACGCAAAGAATAAAAAGTTCAGCACCATAAATATTTTAAAAAATAAAGAAATAACAGAAAAAGTTAGAAGCATTTCATTTTCATCATGAAATTTATATTCTCCTACGTACTAGAGCAAAATATGTCTCTAGAGTTGTAAAATGTTCATTTACATCGTTGCACAAAAGTTTGCTCTAAGAAACTAAATTAGCAATAACTTGTAAACCATTAAATCAAAGAGAAATATGAATAAATGAATTATAAAGTTGAGGAATACCGAATAAACCATATAATTAAAATTAGGTCTTTTTTTATTGTCCGTATAGTATCCTCTAGTTCTATTATTTATTTAAAAATGTCTAACTAATTTTTATCATGTGTATATTTCCCATGAGTCAAACCCACCTAAGAAATCAAATCACTCATCAATCACAATCCACCAAACCCTAAATTAAACAACACTTTTGAAATTTGATTTAAATGAAGAAGACAATGGTAGCAACCCAAATCTACCCATCACCAAAAAGCATCAAACTCACAAGTTTAAGAGATGAATAATACCTTAGCAGAGTACTCTATGTCCGCGAACTTCATAGCGACGCCTAAGTGTCGAATGAGAGGAGAAACGAGACGACAGGCTTGAGTGAACTTGCCAATTTCCATGGGGATCGGTACCGGAGAATTCAGTTGAGCGGCCAGTTGTTCGAATTCATCTGCCAATCTTGTCAGAATTCTCTCATCTTTCCTTCCCACCACTCTTGCCATTCTATAATTTCTTCACCAAGTCTCTGCTCTTTTGTTCGATCGATCGATCTGTCTGACAATCACCGTACACGGAATTCTCTTATCCAATGAAACACTTCCAAATACGGAAAACTCAAACTGTCATTTTATAAGTAAACGCGCCTACATTTGTTGACGAAGACTTGTTGACGAAGACTTGTAAACGGGTAAGTTTATTATTTAATTAATTAAATAATTTTCCTTTTGCATAAGAAATATTTCAAAGTATAAGTTTATTTTTTATTTTTAACAAACATTATTATCTACACTAAGAGGGAGCGGATGAGCTTAGCCTTACAATGGGCTAGCAATAATATGGTTCAATTTCGTCTTCAGCAAGAATCGAAACCTAAGACTCTCACTTACAAATTAAGAAAAAACCCATTAAACCGAAGTACTAAATGACACAATTCTAAAAGGGGTGAGAGTTCCTTCACAGTTGTTTTTCCCGACCTTCGGAGGGTCCTGGTGGTCCAGTCCCTTTATAGATTCACCAATGAGTGAGACATACAAGGTTTAGAGGTGAGCACAAATAACTTGTAACTCAAATGGTTAAGAATAATTTGACTTACACTCTAGGTCCTTGGTTGGATATTCTCCTCCCTTAATATTGATGGTGTAAAAATAAAACAAGGGTAAAGTACAAAAAACTACCTCAACTATGGGTCGAACAACACTTTCATATCTCATCTTTTAAAATTGACAATGTCATACCTCATCTTACAAATTTGTAACAATGTCATACCTTCCGTCAGTTTGTTTGTCATCTATTCCGTTAAGTAGTGTCGTGGTTTAAAAAAATTAATTAAATATTAAAAACTAAAATTATAAAATCATTTAACAATTTTTTTTTTAAATGGGGACCCATCCCTTATCCCCCTCACCTTTCTTACCTCCTCCCATTTTCCCCCACCCCAAACCTATATCCCATCCCTACTTCGCTCTCCCTCGCCATGCCTAGAACCACCATCCCTCCCCTCAATTTTCTCCCTTTCACGCTGCAATAACAGCCTCTTCGGCTCTGTCATTGTCCACAAGCTCCAAGCCCTAAACTTCACAAACCTTGTCCTTTGCACTCACGCCGAGAGCCTTTCGTCTCCGAGAACCTGACCGATTTGGTAGTCGACATGCGCCTTGGCGAGCTCGCCCTCCACACCCACAGCTCCGCCAGTAAGTCTGTGTCTTCCGACGAGGAGTATCTAGCTATCCTAAGCCTTCAGTGATTTCTTTACCTGTAGCAACAACATATTGGGAGAATTAAAATGGCTCGCAAGCTTGCCGTCGCCGGAAAACGTGTTGACCTCTGAATTATCTGAGGCTGCGCCAGAACTGGAACCATGCCAAGGGTTTTTACAGAGGGAGAACTTCTCAACCGAGATCATCGAGAGCATTTTGCCGGAAAATCTTCAGCTGACAATCAAGATCTGCATCGACGGCCTTCAATCTTCGTCGCTTGTCGTGAAGCAATCTGCAGCGGCCAAGCTCAGGCTTTTAGTGAAGAATCGGGTTGATAATCACGCCTTAATCGGTGTGTCCGACACCTTTCCCGCTTTAATTCCTCTACTGCGATGCAGCAGTCCATGGACGCATGAGCATGCCGTCACGGTGCACACCCAGTTTGCAAAATTCCAATTGGGATTTAAACAGGGGAGAAAGAAAATGATGGATGCACGAGGCAGAGGTGTCAAAGGGGTAGCAATAGAGCACACCCAATTTGCGAAATTCCAATTGGGATTTGATTTGTTTGAGTAAATTAAAAATTGGGGACTGAAATGGGGAAGAAGGGTGAGGGTGATGAGTTCGGGGGAGACAGGTGCGTAAGAAGGTTAAAGGTGATGAGTTTGGGGGGTGGGTTAGGGGAAGACGGGAGCGGGTAACGATGGGATCTGGGTTTTGGGTGAGGGAAAACGGGAGGAGGGAAGAAAGGTGAGAGGGATAAGGGGTGGGTCCCCATGTAAAAAAAAAATTGTTAAATGATTTTATAATTTTAGTTTTTAATATTTAATTAATTTTTTTAAGCCACGTCACTACTTAACGGAATAGATGACAGACAAACTGACGGAAGGTATGACTTTGTCACAAATTCATAAGATGAGGTATGCCATTGTCAATTTTAGAAGATGAGGTATGAAAGTGTCGTTCGACCCATAGTTGAGGTAATTTTTTTGTACTTTACCCATAAAACAAATTCAATCAAATTATTTAATGAAGATAGTATTAAAATGTTCAAGTTGTAATTAATATTTTAGTTTAGGTTTGTCCTATTTTCCATAATCTTAACGCTAAAACAATGTCCAATTGCAAGCAATTGAAAAGTGCGTTCACACTCTTCGTAACTCGATGTCTGTTGACTTTTGGGTGGAGGAATCCCTTAGCTTGCCTAAATGAAGGAAGGATTCATCAAGGGCGATAAGACTAAACACATATCTTCAAAGTTTTTCAGTGCACATGAGCTTCAGAAGGCTAAAGTTATTGAAGTCAGACAAATCCATTCCAATGAAAATTTGGCAGACCTGTTCACCAAGTCGTTACCAAAGTGCACGTTTCTGAAGTTAGTGCAAAGTATCGGATTACGTCGACTCACCAATCAGCTAAATTTGGAAAATGCAGAATCATGAGGAGATACATATCAAGGGGAGCACCCACGATAAATGCATGTTGTACTTTTTTTTCTTCAATTAGGATTTTTCCCATTGGGTTTTTCCTATCAAGGTTTTAACGAGGCAACATAAGCATATTTAACATTATATCAACAATCCAGGTAAAGTTGCACTATTTTTCCTTTGCTATGGTTTTTTCCCACTGGGTTTTTCAAAGCAAGGTTTTAACGAGGCAACTGATGTTGATATGTGGGCATCCAAGGGGGAGTGTTGAAAATACTGGTGGGTTAATGAATGCCCACAATGATATTGAAAACATTGGTAGATTTTTCATTGCCCACACAAAGTGATATTGACTTGGGAAATGAAGGAGGATCGTATTGTCAAGGGGTGTGTGATGTAAATTTCAATGTATAGTTAATACGCTTGTTTGGAGTTGCTCTATAAATAGAGCGTTTCGTATGCTTTCAAGATACACAGAGAACAAGGAAAAACCAATAACATCATTATCCATCCCTCCATCTTTTATTTGTCATCCTCTTATGTTATAGTTACAGTGTAATATTTTACACCTGTTTGGCTGCTTCACTCATGTCACTTGTGACAGCCCGTCCCGGAAATATCTAAAACGTACGCGTGAAAAGACTGTTTTGCCCCTAGTTCGATTTCGTTACGTTTATTGGTTGTTTTGAGTTTGGTTGGCATGTTTGGAGCTACACACACCTTCCCACACACCACAGCCCTTTTTCTCCCTGTTTCCTGCACTGTCCCGAGTCCCCATTTCCCTTCCCATTTCCTTCGAACGTACGGACACACCCATAAACCCATCAAACGTCCACAGATCGAGGAAACCAAGCACATATTCGAGCTCGTGAGGATTGTAGGAGTCCAACCATACCATTTCCAGGTAAGAACTCCATCGTTTTCACGTCGATTCAACGATGTCCGATTTGGGTACTATTCATGCACACGTGATTTCTCACGTTTTAGGAAATTTCAAGCTTGTAGGAAGCTTGGTGAGGTCCCAAGGAGGCTCGGAGTAGTTCTTTTGAAGGAATTGGACGTCGGGATCACTAGTTTCGAAGTTGGCCGGAGTTGGGTTGAATTTTGAGGTGAGATTTCGTGGTTTTTAACCCTTGAAAGTGGTATGATTGTGTTCCTCTAGTTCTAAGCTTCATTTTGGTACCAAAATCGTGGAATTTGGTTGAAAAACGAAGAAGATATCAAAGTTTGAAATTTTCCAGTTTTCCGGCGCCGGCGACGCCGCCGGAGGTTCGCCGGGGAAGAAGATGGAATATTCCTGACACCGTTGACAGAATCTGTCAAAACTGACGGAATATTCCCTACGGCGTCAGTTGACACCGTCAGCGTGCCAGGCACGTGCCTGCGCGTGGCCGGCGCGTGTGGCCGTGCCTTGGCCGGCGCGTGCGGTGGTGAAAAATTATTTTAAAAATATGGGGATGTTCCTGAGGTTGAGTAGATCACGTTGGTGTATTCATACACCCCATTTGAGCATTGTATGAGAAGTTATTTCTAAAGTTTGGTTATGTGCTTAAAAATTAACGTTTTTATAGTTATTTCGCATATAGGTGAGACGTATCCCGAGGACGAGCGTGGTCACTCGAGGCAGGGGGGTTATGACCCTTCCACTTATCAGTGAGTGGGCTTTTGGTTTTCCGTATATACCTATATACTTATATTTCCCCGGAATTGATTTAAATGTTTATTAGTTATGTACCATTTTGATATTGTTGGTTATTATGCATGATTAGTTGCATTTACATATACATATATATGTTCGTATGTATTGGTGCTGTGGACGCACAGGTAAGTGCCAGGTAAGTCTTATTCATGTTTACATTCAGTAGTAATTCGAGATGCTTAGAGAGCTCATAACCTGCACCCCCGGTGTTAGTGCTCCCGCCCAGAGTAGGGCACAGTCCTTCACGTGTTGTTCACCTCCCGCACCACATGCTCAGCTTGGATCCAAGTTAGGTGCACAGTCCTGTCGTACAGACCACTTTAGGTGGTTCCAACTCGTGGGTGACCCGCGATTATTCGCACAGCCTTCATGTGATCGTAGCACTAGAGCGTTTATATGTATTACACCCAGGCCTGTCGTATAGACCACTTTAGGTGGTTCCGACTTGTGGGCAGGTTTAGTTATTGTGATTGAGATTTAAGCTCTAGATGCAGCCGTACAGGTCATGTTAGGTGACTCCGGCTGCCAAATTATATGTTATTGATGTAACTTATACCTGAGCACTTGCATTTCATTCTGAGGTTCCAACATGGCATATTCTCGATGCATGGTTGGCATATATATATATATATATATATATATATATATATACGTACATATGTTTACTTTCTGGGAAGTATACAGGTTTTACGGCGAGGGGTTAGAACTTATTTGTTAAAATGGTTTTAGAAAAGCTTTATTTTTGCCCACTCACGCTTTTGTTTTGCGCCCCTTCA